ACGGAGATGCCCCAGAGCGTGCGCCTGGGCGCGGGGCGGTGGGCGGGCGCGCGGTGCAGACGTGCAGTGCGGCGTGTGTGTGCGAGTGACTGCTACCAGGGACCATGGGCGTATTAACAACGAAGGCGCTCTCAAAAAAAAACAAAGAATCGACGCATACGTTGTTCGCACCCATGTCTGTATGGCAGTCGAGGCTGCCTTCCCCACTGCCCGCAGTTCACTCGTCACCGCTCGATCTTATTTTGTAAAATTCTTTTTAGCCTTGGTCGCTAGACGCGGAGTTTCTTTTCTCGTGTGGTGTACCTAAAAGAAAGAAAGAAAGAAAACAGACACGCCAAACGAGGGATGGGACGAGGACAAGGTCCCCACCTGCACGAGCAGGATTTTGGAAGGACGATCAGGGGGACAGGTGGGGCTCTCCTGCTCCTGACAAGGGACACGACAGGCTCGCAGCGCGGTGCGCGGTGGTGTGCCTGTGGTATGCGTAAATTCTTTTCTCGCGTGTCTGCCCCGCTCGGCCGCCGCGCCGCTCGCCCGTCCCAGTGGCTGGCAGAGTTTGACCGTCCATGGCCGACGCGTCTTGGACGCGGCAGGTGCTGCTGTCACTCCTCCTAGCTCTGCTCGTGTACCTAATCCAGCAGTCCGCCAACGATCAACGAATTGTGCCGTCGCCGGCGAATCCGCATGAGTCCAGCCCAGTGCTGTCCGGCGAGAGGTTGGCGGCTGGTGCAGACGGCCAGCTCCGCCTCTCAGACCGGCAGCTTCGGCAATTCATCGCTCGCGGCTACATACTCCTCTCTCCGCCTGAATTTGACGCCGAGTTCCACGCCGTCGTCGCGGCGACGGCAGAAGCACAGCAGGACCCTGTCTCGAGCTCCAACAACCTGGCTCCGCTCCTGCCCAACGCGACGCGAGTAGTACACGGCCCGACGGTGCGCGGCGCTAGATGCGTGATCAGATTCTGCATATGCTCCAGGTAGCATCGGCCTGCGTGCCACTGCCATTAAAAGGGGCCTGCGGAAGAGACGGGGGTCCAGAGCTCCCTCTTGCGCAGGTGCGCGGCGCTCTGGCGTCCATCCTCGGGCGCGGCTACACGATGCACGCGCACCGCCACCTGCACCACTCGGGCGGGGCGGACCAGGTCTGGCACAAGGACTCGTACTGGGGCGCGCGCGCACTCCTAGATGCGGAATGCAGACGCCATTGATTCCAACACCACTCTGCATGCTCTTCCGCTGTACTCACACCCCGCGATGCTCCGTGTCCCCCCGAGCGGTGCTGGTGCCTAGACTCTGATTGGGATTGCAGAGTCAGGCACACGCGCAACAGCGAGATCATAAACTATTGATTCAGAGGATTCAGAGTCATTAACTCAGGCACGCGCAAGAGCGAGATCATAAACGATTGATTTAGAGGAATCTGAGTCATACTCAGGCACGCGCAAGATGCGAGACCACCTGCCCACCATGGCGATGGCGCTCTACTACCCGCGCCGAGTCACGCCCGACATGGGGCCGACCCACATCATGCCCTTCTCGCAGTACGGCTCGGTCGACGCGGAGCACGCGCACTGCGGCGAGGACCGGCTCGGGGCTGGCCGCTTCGAAGGCGAGAGAGCGCCGCCCTCTCACCACGCGCCAACCACGCCCCCACCTCGCCCCCCACCTCGCCTTCTGGAGCTGGAGAATGAGATTGCGCACACTGAAGCAATCCGTGGTCGAGTTCGCTTCAGATGAAGATACGGCTCACCGCCCGCCGCCTCCCCTCTGCCGCAAAGAAGGCGTAGGCTTTAGCTACGCCGCCGACGCGGCCTCGCGCCGCCGCTGCCTCGAGGAGGACGCGCCGGAGCTACCCCTCGCCGCTCGCCGGTGGAGGAACGGAGCTCGTTCCTCGGTAGGAGGACACGCTGGAGCTCTTCCCGGCCGCGACTCGGTCCGCCGACCGGCGGTGCGGGCTATATCTCGGCTACATCTCGGCTGTATGTCAGCTACCTCTCTGCTACCTCTCTGCTACCTCTCGGCTACCTCTCGGCTACCTCTCGGCCATATCTGACCAGCGGCAGGCTTCGTGCGCTCTGAAGGATCGGCCCCCAATCAATCAATCAGGCGCGGCCTGCCGCTGACCGTCGAAGCGGGCACCGTCGCGATCATCCACTACGACTTGCTGCACCGCGGCTCCGCCGTCGCCGGCCCGGAAGCCTTCGCTGCCGACACATCGACCGCCGCCGCCACCGACGCGGACGCAGCCGCGCCTGCCCCGCCCTGGCGCCCAATGTTCAAGTTCCAGTTCGTCCGCGTCTTGGAGCCGCTCTCCCCCTCCTCCGCCGTCCCTCCCTCCTCCTCCGCCCCTCCCTCCGCGAGCCTTTCGCGGCGGCCGCCGCGGGTCAAGGGCCGCCGCCTCGGGTCAAACTCGTCCGGGCGGCGCATGCTTCTCCGGCGACCGCAAGGCAGCGCGCGCGACGGCTGGCGTGCGGTGCTGCGGCCGGAGGAGGTCCCCTTTGGCGCGGCGGAAGAAGGGGACCTGTCCCTCCTCTGGGACCACGTGCTCCAGTACCTCCGGGGCGGGAAGGGAGGGCGGGGAGCCTCCTCTTCTCAGGCGGCGGCGGAGACGGTTGCGGCCGACTCTCGCAGCTGGACCAGCGCCTGCTGATGAATACGCACTCCTTGAATTGTCAACTAGGCTCGACTCTCGCAGCTGGAGCAGCGCTTGCTGGCGCCGAATAGACAGCAGGGAGCGACGGCGCCTTGCACCGCGTTGCGAGGCGACGAGGGCGTGCACAAGAGATGCACCACACACGCACACACACGCACACACACACACGCACACACACGCACACACACACAGCCGTGGCTAGCCCCTGGCCTCCGCCCCGCCGCCGCCCCACGCGCTTTGGTCACCCCTTGCGCATGGCCTCACCACACCGTGTCCCGGGCGGTGTTTGCGTGCTGCAGAGCCCGTCTGCGCCCGCCGCCCCCGAGCCCCAGGCGGCGACCCGCCGTCAGCCGCCCGCAACCTTCCCGCAACCTTCGCTGATCCATTTTCTGAGTTTTCTCTCGACCGACCCTGAAGGCGCCGGCCCAGACAGCGAATACTCGCTGTCGGCGACGCTAGCGGCTCAGCGGGGCGGCCGGGGCGGTCCGCCAGTGGAGCCGTCCGAATCGAGCCGCCTTGGCGCCGCATACGCCCTCGGCCGCCTGGCACGAGGGCGTACTGGCGCGTCTCCCCCCCCCCCCCCCCCACACACACACATTGCTGCCTCTCCCCTCCTCACTGCGACCTCTCTCCTCGCTGCCTCCCCTCCCTCACCGCCTCGCACACGGACATGACGGACAGACACCCGAGCTTGCACGGTCGAACGGCTCTGTCTCCATGGAGGTGCCGGGGATGGATCGCACTAGCGTGGAGACATCGTACCCCTTGCCCTTACCTCACAGGCGATCCCGGCCTTGCCGCCGCGACGGCCGGCGCCGCACTCGACGCACTTCTCGGCGTCATCGCTTGCAACGGCACGCGGCGCGAGGCGCGTGTCCACGCCCGCCTCATTCTTCGCCCTGCACAGCGGCCTTTAGTTGTAGGCTCGCGGCGCGAGGCCGAGGCGGCGAGAAGGGCCGCTATGCGCGGTCTCGCCGCCGCCGGAGGCGCCGCGGTTCCGCGCATCGCCGACGCCCTGGCCGCCGCCCTTGACGCCGCAGCGAGACCGCCCGAGGTCAGCCGAGGTGACTCGAGCGTGGCCGCCGGCGAACCTTCGGCCGCGACCCGCTGCGAGGGCGAGGTTGCAGAAGGCCTAGATGCGAAGGATGCGCCCGTAGTCTGGCCAGCCTTGGAGGCCGGGAAGAGGAGCCGCGGGGAGGGAGCTGCTTTCGCCTCAATCTGGAGTCATCTCGGGGCATCTCGGGGCATCTCGGGGCATCTCGGGGCATCTCGGGGCATCTCGGCGAGGGATCCTTTCCGCCCTCCGCGGCCTCCAATTCGCGCACAAGGGGAGTGCGGGTGCTCATGGCTGCTGCACTTTTGCACTGCAGGTCCTCCGCTATCTCGCGCACGCGCTTGGCGGCGCGCTGCGCGCAGCCGATGCGGCTGACAGCGGCGCCGCTCTCGCCCCCCAAAAAGTCGTCAGTGCCGTTGGCGCGCTGTCGCGGCTGGTGGCATCGGCGCCACCTCCCGGCGACCACTTCGACGTGGCTCGCTCCGCCGCCGCCGAGGCGATCGGCCCGGCGCTGCAGCGGTTTGCGGCCACGCCGGAGACGTGCGGCGCCGTCGAGGTTCTGCTGGCGGCGCTGGACGACAAGGGCGTGTCGCTGCCGCACGGGGGGACGCCGCTGTGGCCGCTGCACGCGTCGGCGCTGCTGGCACTGCAGCAGGTGATCATCGGTCGCGAGATCCGCCTTGTACTAGAGATGCAATCCGCGCTCCCCCCCCCGCCACCCCGCGAGGTGATCGCCGGCTCGGAATCGCTGCGCGCGTGTCTTCCAGAGGGCGGGGAACGGCGCGCGAGGGTGGTCGCAAGGTTGGGAAGGCTGCTCGTAGACGATGGACAGGGCGACAGGTACGCGCTGGCATCCGCCCTCGACGCCCTCCGCGCACTCGCCGACGCTCGCGACGCCGAGGCTGGTCGGCTGCTGCTGGACACGCTCTTTTCGGCGCGATGGTGTCCTCACACAACCGCATCCTCGCAGTATTGAAATGCGACCCATATGAGCAGTGTTTTCAACAACCAATCGAGTTTGATTTTGATTCTTTGTCTCGACGTTCAACGAAGCGCCAGAACGCCGCAATGTCTGTAGTCTATTGTATGTGAATGTGTGCTGCGTGCTCGTGGCGTGAGCACTCTAGTGCTAGAGCCGAGAGCGCTGCAGGATTCGGTACGTATCTAGATACGGCTCTATCTAGAGGACACTCATCAATTTGAACAAACACATCCGATCTAAACATCCGAACTGCTCCTCTTGGTTACACCAATGGTAATGCACTTGCCCTGCGGTGCCGAGCGGCGATCAAAATTAGCCCGGCAACGAGGCCCATCCCAAGAACGCTTGCTGCCACAGCTGCAGAGCCGAACGTGCGTGGTGGCGCTGCTAGCTGTTCGCGCAAGTATTGCTCTGCGGCCGCCTCTGCCGCCGCTGCCTCCGCCGCCGCCTCCTGTGCCGCCTTGCGTCGCGCGCGCTCGGCCGCCTCAGCCTCAGCCTCCTGTGCCCGCTGAGCCGCAGCTTCTTCTTCTCTCTTTCTCGCCTCCTCCTCCACCTCGGCTTTGGCATCATGCACATGCACGGCAAGCTCATCGCGGTTCTTGATGACCTTCATTGCTGCGGTCATTGACTCCTCGACCACGCCACAGCAGTAGCTAAAGCACCAGGAGCCGTCGTCCCTCGCAATCTTATCCGGGTCCTCGCCGGGAGACCGAACGAGAACAGAATTTGGGCAGACCCAATCGGAAGTCCAGGCGCAGTCGCACTCAAACGCATCCTTTCGCAGGAGCTCCTCCTCCTTTTCAGCATCGGTGACCCAGAAGTGGTCAGCCACAGTGACGGCCGATGCTGCCACCACGCCGACAATGATAATCGCTGACCCTGCCGCAGCTCCAGCAGCTAGTGTAGGGGCGCTCCTTCCCCTTGCGCCCGAAACTATTGCCTTTCCGCCGAGCGCGACACTCTTAGCTAGCACCCTGGCAGCTGCCGATTGACCGGCTGTCGCAGCAGACACGGCAGCCTGTCTTGCCGCCAAGTTGGCAGCCTGTCGTGCAACCAAGGCCCTATACGCAGCCGTCCCGACTACCGCCCCAGCACCCAAGCCAACAGCGGCCCCGGTGAGTCTGGCTTCGTTGGAATAGTCGGAAGGCATGAGGCACTGCGCTGTCAAGGTAGCAGCGATGACGGGGGCAAGCAACTCGCCCACTGTCGTCGCGGTGGCGAGGGCCACTGCTCCCTTTCTCGCGATCGCTCCGGCTGCTCGCTTCGCGGCCGCCGACATCGCTTGCTTGCGCGCCGCTTCTGCGCCTTGCTTCGCAGCAGCTTGTGCGCCTTCCTTTGCTCCCTTCCCCATCACCGTCGCTGCCCCCTTCTTAGTCGCCATCCCCAGCCCCTCCTCCGCCGCCGTTTGGAGCGCATGCCGAAGCGGCTTGAGCTGTTTGAACTTGAGGCAATGCTCCAACGTCGACTTCGGTCGTGCACACACTTCCGACAGCATCTCCCAAGCGTCTTTATAGGCACCAGCAAAGACCTTCTCGGCGTATTTTCCCGACTTCAGACAAATCTCACTCGTTGCCTTGCCTTTGCATTCGAGCATATCGGCGGCACCCTCGAGCTCCTTGAACAACACACGGGCCTTGTCGCGCGCGCATAGAAGGTTGCTTCCGCATTCAACTGTCTCTTCCGCACCTGCCAATATCTTCTTCTTCCACCTTCCGAAGTCCTGGTTGTCGGCCGCGAGCTCCTCCTTCAGATTCGGGCGCGAATTGGTGAAATACTTCAAGTCCTTCACATCTTCCTCCGTAGGGTAGATCCCTCTCTCCGCAAGTTTCTCCACCTGGCGTTTTAGAGTCTGCTTCTCCACACGATGGTCAACTTCAGTGGCCTTTAGTGCGCCGCAAAGCTCGCCTTTGCAGACCTTATGGCGATAACCGCCCTTGCCGATCTCGTCGTACACGTGCTGCGCCAGCTCTTTGGGCGGCATTTGGCTGAGTTGAGCGGTGCTGTATGCAGTCGATTGGCTACGAGTGACGGCACGAAGGCGTCGTCCGTGATCCGTGCCGCTACCCTCCTCACTGGCCATAGCAGCATCAGCAATATGGTACGCCATTACTGCGCCGAGGCCGACGCCAGTACTTGAGACAACGTCTTCGGCCGCATCCTTACCAAAGTCGCCCGCTTTGCGGCAGAGCTGAGGCACAGTGTACCCGAGAAAGACCCCGGGTGCACTTTGCTGGAGGTCATCCAACCCATCCCAAAGCTCTGCCTTCCTCCGTTGAAATGAGCTGGGATAGTCCCCGGCCAAGGCGTCGCCAGCTCCGACGGTGATGTACTCCTCAGCCTTCTCCAACAGCTCTTTGAGATAGGCGCCCTCGCTCCTGTGTTTCACCCTGCTGCCGAGAAGGAAGAGCCGGCCAAGCCACGCGCGTTGCATCTCCTCCGTCCATGAGCTGTTGAGCTGCGATGGGTCGATCTTGGAGAAGTACAGAACTAGCGCCGAGGTGAGGTTGACAAGCATGGGCGCCTGCGTGAAGTTGGAGAATAGCGCTTCGGCTGACTTCATCTGGCCCTCGAGCAGTGTTGCGTCCTCGCCACCCCACGGTAGTAGAGCGCTCACCTCGGTGCTCAGAACCATATCGCTCAAAAGGCCCTTGACCTTCTCCTCGAGACTTGGCGGCATCGCTGGTGGCGGTTTGGGCGGCGAGGGTGGTTGTGGCGGCGGCAGTGGCGGGGACGGCGGTGGCAATGGCGGAGACGGTGGCGATGGCGGCGGCGATGGCGGCGGCGGCGACGGCGGCGATGGCGGAGCGAACGGGACCACAAAGGAGTGGCTACCGGAGTGCCCCCACCCGAGCGTGATGTCCTTCTGCCCAAGGCCCGACCACGTGGCGTCATCCCAGCCGTTGCCCCACAAGTCTTGCATCGAGAGGGTGCAGGTCGAGAGAGGAGGGAGGTCGAGGCTGTACGTGTGCACGCTGTCCTCGTGGCTGTACCACGTGCCGTAGGGCCCACCCGAGAGCACGTGACGGCCGTTGCACTCGAGGCCCCAGGACATCTCGTTGGAGCGGCGCCCGGTTCGCACCTCGATCTCGTACGAAGAGGCTGGCGAGAAGGGCGGCGGTGGGGACGGAGGAGGCGGGCTGGGTGGTGGCGGCGAGGGCGGCGGCGGCGACGGAGGTGGTGGGGAAGGCGGAGGAGGCGAGGGTGGCGGCGGTGAGGGCGGCGGTGGCGAGGGTGGCGGCGGCGATGGCGGCGGTGGTGAGGGCGGCGGCGGGGACGGCGGCGGCGGCGACGGCGGTGGTGGGGACGGTGGAGGTGGGCTGGGTGGCGGTGGAGAGGGAGGCGGGGGCGACGGGGGCGGCGGCGAGGGCGGCGGAGGGGACGGGGGTGGCGGCGAGGGCGGCGGCGGCGATGGTGGCGGAGGCGACGGAGGGGGCGGCGAGGGCGGCGGCGGCGGCGGCGATGGTGGTGGTGGCGGTTTGGGCGGCGAGGGAGGAGGTCGAGGTGGCGGCAGTGGCGGCGGCGGCGAGGGAGGAGGTGGCGGTGGCGGCAGTGGCGGCGGCGGCGATGGCGGCGATGGCGGAGCGAACGGGACCACAAAGGAGTGGCTACCGGAGTGCCCCCACCCGAGCGTGATGTCCTTCTGCCCAAGGCCCGACCACGTGGCGTCATCCCAGCCGTTGCCCCACAAGTCTTGCATCGAGAGGGTGCAGGTCGAGAGAGGAGGGAGGTCGAGGCTGTACGTGTGCACGCTGTCCTCGTGGCTGTACCACGTGCCGTAGGGCCCACCCGAGAGCACGTGACGGCCGTTGCACTCGAGGCCCCAGGACATCTCGTTGGAGCGGCGCCCGGTTCGCACCTCGATCTCGTACGAAGAGGCTGGCGAGAAGGGCGGCGGCGGCGATGGTGGTGGTGGCGGCGGCGGCGGCGAGGGAGGAGGTTGAGGTGGCGGCAGTGGCAGCGGCGGCGAGGGAGGAGGTGGCGGTGGCGGCAGTGGCGGCGGCGGCGATGGCGGCGATGGCGGCGTTGGGGGAGCGAACGGGACCACAAAGGAGTGGCTACCGGAGTGCCCCCACCCGAGCGTGATGTCCTTCTGCCCAAGGCCCGACCACGTGGCGTCATCCCAGCCGTTGCCCCACAAGTCTTGCATCGAGAGGGTGCAGGTCGAGAGAGGAGGGAGGTCGAGGCTGTACGTGTGCACGCTGTCCTCGTGGCTGTACCACGTGCCGTAGGGCCCACCCGAGAGCACGTGACGGCCGTTGCACTCGAGGCCCCAGGACATCTCGTTGGAGCGGCGCCCGGTTCGCACCTCGATCTCGTACGAAGAGGCTGGCGAGAAGGGCGGCGGCGACGGCGGACGATCCGGAGGATCCGGAGGAGGAGGAGCGGATGGTGGTAACGAGGGCAGCGGTGCAGAAGGAGGAGGTGGCGGGGATGAAGGTGGCTGCGTCTTGCAGCAAACACTGAAGCAGGCCGATCCGTCGTCCTTGGCGTGAGTTTGCCTCCAATGCTTGGGGCTGCCGGGGCATGGGTATTCCCTCGTCCACGCGCAGCCCTGTGGGCAAGACGGTGGTGATGGCGGCGGTGGCGGCGACGGCGGCGTCTTGCAGCAGACATTGAAGCAGGCCGATCCGTCGTCCTTGGCGTGAGCTTGCCTCCAATGCTTGGGGCTCCCGGGACAAGGGTATTCCTTCGTCCACGCGCAGCCCTGCGGGCAGGGTATTCCTTCGTGCTGGATGCCTCCTCCAGAGGAGATGCCTGCAGCCGAGGCGATGAGTGCTAGGAGGGCCACGTGGCTCGCCGATGCGTCAGCGCCGCCCGCGCGCCGGTCCAGCCAAATGCTCACGCGCGGCATGAAGCGCCAGGTGCAGACGGCTTGCTCAGCAGACGGAGACGGGCACGTCGACGGCCCCTTTCTACGTTCCTCGTTTCGATTTGTGCGACCGCCTTTGGGTTGTATTTTTTTGTAGAAAGAAAGAAAGAAAAGGACTCACAGGAAAACAGTAGTGGGGCGGCGGGCGTATTTCTTCTTTTTGAGCTAAACTTCGATAATTATTAATAAAACAAGCGAAGGCACACACAACATGACGCCAAACACACGATTGCACGCACCGCACCGCACCCAGCACTCCGCGCCCGCCGCCCCCCCACCGCCCCGCCTAGGTGGGAAAGAGATGAGGAGATGGGACAGCGAAGGAGGAGCACAAACTTGTATGTGACGCGCGCGAGAACAGCCACGCCATCTTGCTGTATGCTGTGCTGGCAATATGTTATGTGCCAACGCGCAACGAAGGTCAACGCCGCCGAACCCGCCCGCCGCCCATGCCTTTTGGCCGTGGCACCCGATGCACTTGTTCGCCGTTCACCTCAGCGAGCAATCGGAAGCCTGGTCGTAGGTATGCGCGCTCTGCCTGGCCAGAACTGAAAATGCTCACCTGGCTATAGTTTTGCTCGCCGCAGAGGAGCGGCACCACTCTGGGATTCTCCGAGATTATGATGTCGATCGTGACCTTCGCCCAATCGAGCGACCGCAACGCCGCCACTTCGTGGCCCTCTATATCGAGAGAGAGGAAGTCGACATGATCAATCTGTTGAGAGGCGAGCGCATCCGTGAACGAGGTGCAGCCCGCAATCTTGACGACAGATGCACGATGCGCGCGGTCACCGGGCATTGGCGAGCCCAGGTGCGAGTGCCCACCAATCTTGTCGCCAGCGTCATCTCGTGTGACGAGTTGCAGTGCGGCGTCTCCATACTTTGCGCACGTGGAGACGGCCCGCGCCTCGAGGGCGCACGTGCGCTCGCTACGCAGCCGCGCATGGTGCGCCGGATTGGGCTCGACACACACGCCTCTCCAGCCCAGGCACGTGTCAAAGAAAAAGGTGTTGGAGATGACCATGGCGTCGTTTGCCGCAAGGTCGACGTAGGTGCCTTGGCGCTTCATGAAACGAGCATGATTCATGTAGATCCACCAGTCCTGGCCGAGCTGCGAGAGGAAATGCGGCACCGCACACCCACTCTCGTCCGTGTGGAAGCCCATGCCTGCAATCGCTTCAAACCGTGGGCTGCGCATGTACGCCTCCTGCTGATAGCGAGGGTTGGAGTTTGGCGGGCTCATGAGCATGAGCGTGGCGGCCGACGCTGACCGCAGGATTTCGCACCAGCGGCGGCCGGCAGCTGACTTCATGGCGGTCGTTTCAATCGTGTGCGCAGGCATGGAGCAATTTGGCATTGCCATGAAGTCAGCTGAGCCCCCGCCGAGCGCGCCCGCGCCGTGCGAACCTGTGCCGTGCGGGGGCGCATGGCGCGCATCCGTGCCGTTCGCAGACTTGAGCGCCTCAATCTCAGCTTGCATCGCCGACATCCTGGCATCGTTCCTGGCAGCTGTTGCCGCCATCTCCTGGTGCATCTCTCGTAGAAGCTCCGCAACCTCTGTCGACGAACTTGGTTCGCCCGCCAGCGCCTTGACGGCCGCAGGAAGGAGACCCACAAGAAACCAGAGCCGCGCTCGCTGCATCGTTCTGGGTCTAGGTTGGTGTCTCACGGTCAACTTGGCGTCACCTCGTCGAGCACAACCTTGCTTTGCAGCGTGTCAACCTTCTGCCGTCAACATTTCTTTTTTCCCAATGTGCGTTTTGCTCGAGCTGAAGCACATCCTGGAGTGGCCTTTCTTAAAAAATCCGCGAGTTTTCTTTTCTCACCACAGTTGCAACAAGTCCGACGCCTCATCAAGCACCCTGCTCCTCCCCTTCCCGCGCCTCGTGGCCCGCTCGGCGCCCTCACAAACGCCCCGACCCGCCTCACAGGCGACCAGTATGCTGCGCGCCGCTTGTGCGCTCCGCGCTGCGCCGCGAGCCTGCGCAGGCAGCCTGCACCGAGCGCCGCCGGCTGTGGCGCGAGCCTCCTGCCCGGCCGGCTCGCGCGGCTCGCTGCTGCGGCCGGCCGCCCGCCAGCTGAGCACCGCGGCGGCCGAGGAGGCGGGCCTGCTTGCGCGCGGCCAGTTTGACGCCGGCTTCTTCCAGGGGACCGCGCTCTTCGCGGGCGTCGTCCTCGGCGCCATGGCCGCGTCAGACGAGCAGCGCGCCTCCGCCATCAACGGGCTGCTGGCCGGCTTCCGCTCGCTCGGCGTGAGCGATCGGATCAGCGACCGGCAGCTGATCGAGGACTTCCTGCGCAAGAACGTGGCGGCGGCGGCGAACGTGGTGATGGCGTCGCCCGTCTTTTACTTTCTCTTTGCGGGCATCACGGGCGAGTCGGTCGTGGTCTCGTCGCTGCGCGCCATCACCGGCACGATGCGGATCGTCCCGTTCATGGGCGCCTTCTACGGCCTGTTTGCGGTCTGCTCGCCCTTCCTCGTCGACTTCTTCATGGCGCGTGGGCCCGGAGGGGTTGTGAGGCACGCTGCTCGGAAGGGACTGAGCCGTGCGGGAGAAGCGGTGCTAGGCGCGCGGGCAAGGGTACGAAGAGGCGACCGGCACCGCAGGCCTCGCGATGATCCTCTCCGGCTTCGTCGCCATCGAGGCGGTCGTCGAGTTGCGCGGATGCGGCGTCCTCTTCTCGCAGATGACGGCCGCCTCGTTTGCAATCTTCATCCCCGCCCTGATCGGTCCGCCCGCGCGCGCCGCCTGCTGCCGCTGCCGCGAGTGGCCCGTGGATGAGAGGGGTGTGGGCGTGCCTCCGCAGGCCGGCTCGCGTGCGGCGTGCTGCTGCAGCAGCAGAAGACAGGCTGTGGCGAGGCGGGGCGTGCCTCGGCTCTCTCACCCGACTCGCTGACTCGCGCCAGGAGATGCGAGAGGTAGGCTCTAGCGAGGAGGCGTCGCTGCTCCCGGCGTCGTGGCAGGAAGGGCCGACCTGGCAGGCGAGATCGAGCCGAGATCGAGCCCGAGATCGAGCCCGATATGGATCCTGACACACGCACACACCCACGCCTCCTGTGCTCTTCGACGAAACCGTCGACGAAACCCTGACCGAAGCATGCCGTTCCGAATCCTTGCCTGGCCCGACACACACCACACATACTCACACCTCCGACCACCTGCCTTCACCCAACCTCCACTGACCCAACCTCCAGGCGCATACGTACATGCTCTTTGACCAGCTCCACATCGGACAGGCCGAGATCTAGCCGAGATCTAGCCGAGATCTAGCCGAGGTCGAGACGAGATCTAGCTCACAGACGGCCCTCTCTTGGCACCTGGCCCTCCTCCTCCTCGCGCCCTCCCCACACCTTCCAAGGACGTCGCCATCGCCACGCCACACGCACGCCACACACCCGCCCCTGGTCCCATGCCGACAGGACTTTGCCGTCACCACGTGCGGTACGACTGTCTTCCAGTACATCCTCAACGCGGTGCCCCTTCGCGCTGCGGGCCGAGGGGCGAGTCCTCCCACCGCAGGAGCACAGGGTAGCACGGTGTGGGCTGGTAGGTGACCTTCGTCCTCCTGACCAAGGGCCGCGCCTCCTCCCTCGGTGACATGGCGCGCTTCATGGTCGGCGGCATGGGCGGCACGCTCGGCTCGGGGATGGCGACCCCCCCCCCCCCCTTGTCAAGGCCCCTCCGTTCCCTGTCCGCGTCCACGACACGCGACACGTCCCCCCCGTAGGCCCAGTTCGGCAAGACGCTCTTCATGAGAACCGGGTATAGACTAGTTCGGCCAAGGAGCCACCTCCCACCGAGGTCCGAGGCACGTCCCAGCGCACGCCCTGCACGTCCACCCGTAGGTTCGGGTTCGCGTGGAACCTCGCCTCCTCGCAGCCGGTCCAGATGCCCGCCTTCGACGCCGCCCTCGCGCGTTGCCCCGCCTGAGACCCGCCTGAGACCGCCCACCGCCTCAGCCACCACCCCTCTGCCGCTGAGCGCCCTCCCTCCCCGTCCGCCGGGAGCGTGTTCGAGGCCACAGCGGCATCTTTGGAGAGAGAGGGGGAGGGTGTCCCACAGCCCCGGACCATCGGAGAGCGTGCCGAGACCGCGTGCGTTGCGGAGCACTCTGCACGTGCTGGCGCCCCGCGGCCCGCGCCGCAGGCGCAGCGCCCGGCGCAAGCGCGTGTGAGTCTGTGTTTTGTTCGTGGCCTCCGCAGGCCAGGGATTCTACTGTATTTTATTACGAGTACACCAGGTAAAGTGGGCAGTCATCTCCACAACGACAGACACACAGGCACTCAGACAGGGCAGTGTGCGTAGACGAGAGACACAGGCAAACCGCGGGAGACGGCATTCAAAGAAAGGGGAAGGCCCGGGCTCCTCACTTTCCGGGATCCTACGCCGCGGGGGTCGTGGGTGCGATGCAAAGTGGGTTCCCGTCACATTTCACACGATCAGCTTTCGGCGAGGCAAAGGCGGAGGGCGACGGCGAGGCAGCGGTGGTTGCCACGCTGCTGCCCCGGCTCAGTGCCCGGATGTGACCATGCTCCTCGGAACTGGGCGGCGGGAGGACACCTGTACCTTGCTGCTTCTTAGCGAGGAGCAGCGCGTTGATCCTCTCCACCTCCTGCGCGGTGTACCAAATCATTCCATCAGCGTTCGGCCTGTGCGGGACGAGCAGCGGCGGTGTGTGAGTGCAGCCTGGGGATGTCACGCGCGGCTGCGGGCTGGGACCGGAGAGACGAGCGGTGGCAAAGCACGGCTAGGCCCGTATGGGGAGCACAACAAACACGTGCCTGCCGGCGAAGGCTGTCGTCGCGGGCTTTGCCGAGGTGGCACCTCGGACCGACGTGACCTACAATTCGGCGCATGCAGCAACTTGCCTCATTTTCTTACAACCCCGGACCCAAGACGCACAAGCACAGACAGTCGAGCAGGGAGAGACAGCAACGACAGTCAGAAGCCAGCGCTGGGTACCAGGAGAGCGAGGTAGGTAGGTAGAAAGGTGAAGAACAGCCAGGCTCGGACTGGACACCAACGCGGTATGGGTGGACGCGGGACAGATGATGACAGAGCGAATGCGAGGACGGCCTCTAGTGTGAGCTCTAGCTACTCGAGTAGTGAGCCGCTCATACGCACGCCGGCAGATCGCGACTATATACAAGATCACAGATCACTATATACAGCTAGCTAGTTAGTTAGGAGCCGACCGACCCTCGCGTGCAGTGCACTCCTCCCGTTCAACAACTTGGACGGTAGAGACGACATTCGGACGGCCCCAAGTGAGCGATTTTTTTTGCGCTCTTCAACCTACATTCAGCTGGCTCGCAGCGAGGTCCCTTATGACTTTCGCCGCGCACTGCGACCCTGCGGCTGGCTTGGCTTTGGCGCTGGCCGGCCTGCTGCTGGGCAGTCGGCATCAATCCCGGCCCTTCCGCTTCTTGGACGGCGCCGAGTCGTTGGCGCCGGAGCTGAGGAGCGCGGTGAGTTCGGTGAGGCGCGCCCGCTTATCATCCGCGCATTTGGCCAGCGTCGCGGCCAGCTCTCCCAACACTTCCTGCTCCTCCTCTCGCATCGACCTCAAAGGGCAGTCCGCGGGAGCGGCGCATGCCTCTGCGCTCACCCTTGATCGCCTGGCGCGGATCGTGCTCAGCAGCTCCTCCTTTTGTCGCACGCTCCTCTGCAGCTCCTTGATCTGAGCGCGCAGCGACAGCTTCCGCCGAGGTGGCGTCCTGACGAGGCGAGCTTCTCCGACGTTTGGCAAACTGTGTACGCATGCGCGGCAGGAGATGCAGCGATGCAGTCGCCGAATGCCCTCCATCGAGTCGAAACCATCTTGCCTCGCCGCGAGCATGGACGCGCCCAAGTTCGCGCTGACGTAGGCCGACCAGCAAGCCTCGTGCACGATGGCGTTGCAGCGGGAGCAGGTGAGGATGGGCTGCCTCTCGGACACCTCACAGGGGTCCAGGCAAAATGCACAGCTCACGGGCGGCTCGCCGCGCTGACGCGCGGTAAACATGAGCGGGCGCCGCGCGGTTGCCATCGCCGCCGCGGGTTCTCGAGGGGAAGAAGGTTGATGCATGTATCCTTTGGCCGCGTTGGGTGGCGAGGTGGTGCAACGCGATCTACGCGACCCTAGTTTCGCGCGGCGGGCGCCCAATGGCAAAAGGCGGCGGCAACAACTCAATAAAGGTTAGGTTAGGTAGGAAGGCGAAGAACAGCCTGGCTCGGACTGGACACCAGCGCGGTATGGGAGAGAGAGAGAGAGAGTTTTGTTGTATGGGTGGACGCGAGACAGAAGAAACCCTTCGCCGCACTCCTCATCGTCACGCTCATCGCAAACCCTGTCAGCAGTCCTCCTCCGGGAATGTACGGAAGAGCCACGTACAACGGAAATAGAAAACAGTAAATAAAAACAAAAAACAAAAGAAGAATTCAACCGCGTGGAAGCTCCGAGCACCTTCACCCCCACGCGTGCTAGGATTTCTAGCTGCTCATGAGCGGCCACGCCAATGGCCACAACGGCGTGGGCCCGGGCAAGTTTGTCTACCCAGACTCGCCGCTGCACGAGCTCTTCCACCAGCAGGTGGCGCGGACACCCGACCGGATCGCCGTCATCGACCAGGAGCGGGAGCTCACCTACACAGAGCTCAAGCGGCAGACACAGACCCTGGCCCTGTCGCTGCGGCACCGCGGCGTGAGCGAGGAGCAGCCGGTCGTGCCCATCTTCATGCCGCGCTGCCTCGAGTTTGCCGTCGGCTACATCGCGGCGCTGTCAGCGGGCGGCGCCTACCTCCCTCTGGAGGTCGGCTACCCGGCGGAGATGCTGCGGCGTGTGCTCGCCGAGGCGAAGCCGGTGCTGACGCTGACGCTAGAGAGCCAGGCGGCAAAGCTGCCCGCCGACGCGCCGCGCCTCTGCCTCGATCCCGGCTGGGAGGAGGCTTGTGCGCTGCTGCCGGCCGAGCTGGCGGCTCTCCCGTCGCTGGCGACGAGCCTCGAGTCGCTCGCGTACTGCGTCTACTCTAGCGGGACGACGGGCGAGCCGAAGGGCATCTCCTGCCCGCACCGCGGCTCCGTCCTCTCGTACTCCCACCGCGCGCACCACGCGCCGTACGCGGCGGACGGCTCCGACCGCGAGGCATGCAACGTCTTCTTCGTCTGGGAGATGCTGCGGCCGCTGCTGCAGGGGGCGACGCTGGTCGTGGTGCCGGACTCGGTCATCTACGACCCTCCCGCCCTCTCCTCCTTCCTGGAGCGGCACGCCGTCACCCGCATGCTCTTCACGCCCTCCCTCCTCGAGGCTGTGCTCGACTCGCCCGCCCTCGCCTCTGGCGACGAGCTGCGGCGCGCCTTTGCCGCCTTCCGCGTGGTCGTGCTGTGCGGCGAGGTGGCGACGGCGGAGCTGCGCGCGCGGGTGCTCTCTCTCGCCCCCGCCGGCCTCAAGCTGCTCAACCTCTACTCCATCTCCGAGTGCCACGACGTGTCCATGGTCGACCTCGCCGCCACGCCGCCGCCCGAAGGAAAGTACTGCTCGACCGGCCCGCTGTTGGACGGGGTCGAGGTGCTCATCCTGGAGGACGCGAACCAGGCGGAGAAGTCGGGCGAGGCGCAGCGAGGGGCGGACGCCGCAAAGGCTCTCCGCCCCGTCCCGCTCGGCTTGCCGGGCGAGGTGTTCGTCTCCGGTCCCTGCCTCGCGCGCGGGTACTTGCAGCGGCCCGACCTCACCGCCAAGAAGTTCCTCCCGCGGCCTCCCTCCCTCTCGGCGACGCCCGCGCCGCAGACGCCCGGCCAGGACGCGGCCTCGCCCGCCCTCTACTCGCGGCTGTACGACACGGGCGACTGGGGCAGGCTGCGGCCGGACGGGACGCTTGAGATCTTCATTGATAGTTAATTAATCGTTCACCAGTTAATTAATCAGGCTGCGGCCGGACGGGACGCTTGAGATCTTGATTGATAGTTAATTAATCGTTAACTAGTTAATTAATCAGGCTGCGGCCGGACGGGACGCTTGAGATCTTGATCATTGATAGTTAATTAATCGTTAACTAGTTAATTAATCAGGCTGCGGCCGGACGGGACGCTTGAGATCTTGGGGCGGCACGACTCGATGCAGAAGATACGCGGCTACTCGGTGGAGCTGCGCGCCGTCGAGGCGGCGCTGCTGCAGTGCCAGGGGGTCACCTCGTGCGTGGTTCGCGTGGTGGGCGAGGAGGGGACGGACAAGCATCTCGCCGCCTTCGTCGTCTTCGAGAGAGAGCGAGACGGGGGCAGCGCCGGCGAGGCGGCGCCGCGCCAGGCGCGCGCGGAGCTGCACGCGGCCGTGCCGCACTACATGGTCCCGTCCTTCATCGTCCCGATGGACGAGCTCCCGACCAACGAGATCTATTAATTAATTAATTAATTAGGTCCCGTCCTTCATCGTCCCGATGGACGAGCTCCCGACCAACGAGGTCTATTAGTTAATTAATTAATTAATTAGGTCCCGTCCTTCATCGTCCCGATGGACGAGCTCCCGACCAACGAGATCTATTGATTAATTAATTAATTAATTAGGTCCCGTCCTTCATCGTCCCGATGGACGAGCTCCCGACCAACGAGGTCTCGGGCAAGCTCGACCACAAGGCGCTGCCGAGGACGCTGCCGGAGCTCCTCCGCTTCGTCGAGAGCAGCGGCGGTGCGCGGGGGCCGCAGCTGCGCACGCCGACCGAGGCTGCGGTGGGCAAGGTGTGGGCAGAGGTGCTCAAGCTAAACCCTAACCCTAACCCTAACCCTAACCCTATCCTAACCCTAACCCAAGGTGTGGGCAGAGGTCCTCGAGCTGCCCGCTGCGATGGTCGACCCCGAGGAGTCCTTCTTCGACCAGGGGGGGCACTCCCTCCGCGCGACGAGGCTAATTAACAAGTAATGGTTAATTAACAGTTAATTACTTCATTAATTAGGCACTCCCTCCGCGCGACGAGGCTGATCGCCGCGCTCAACCAGGGAGGCTACCCGGCGGTGCGCGTCGCCTCCCTCTTCGAGCACCCCACCATCCGAGAGCTGTCCGCGCACCTCGACGCTGACGGAGCCAGCCGCGCGGACAAGGCCCCGCACACGCCCCTCCCCCGCTCCGTCGTGGAGAAGGAGATTGCGGCCCTGGCGGGCGGCATGCCCGTCGGCTTCGACTCGGCTCTGCGCGCGTACTGGCACGGCGTCTCTCTCGCGAGCAGGCGGGTCCTCTCGGGTCCTCTCGGGTACTCTCGGGTCCTCTCGAGTCCTCTCGGCTCCTCTCGGCTCCTCTCGGCTCCTCTCGGCTCCTCTCGGCTCCTCTCGGCTCCTCTCGGCTCCTCTCGGCTCCTCTCGGCTCCGCTCGGCTCCTCTCGGCTCCGCTCGGCTCCTCTCGGCTCCGCTCGGCTCCTCTCGGCTCCTCTCGGCTCCTCTCGGCTCCGCTCGGCTCCTCTCGGCTCCTCTCGGCTCCTCTCGGCTCCTCTCGGCTCCTCTCGGCTCCGCTCGGCTCCTCTCGGCTCCGCTCGGCTCCTCTCGGCTCCTCTCGGCTCCTCTCGGCTCCTCTCGGCTCCTCTCGGCTCCTCTCGGCTCCTCTCGGCTCCTCTCGGCTCCTCTCGGCTCCTCTCGGCTCCTCTCCACTGACTGGCACGCAACTCTCTCTCTCTCGCGAGCAGGCGGGTCGACAGCTACTAATAATATATAATTAATAATATTATTAGGCGGGTCGACAGCTGCTCGTCGCAGTCGGCGAGTCGCGTGGGGAGCTACTCGTCGCTGCTGGCTCTCGGGGCGGAGGGGGGGCGGGAGGAGGGGTGCAAGGCGCGGGAGGAGCCGCTGCAGCTCGGCTGCGCGGGCGAGTGCGTCTTGCTCACCGGGGCGACCGGCTTCCTCGGCGCCTTCGTGCTGCGCGAGCTGCTCGCGGCTAATTAACTATTAATGAGCTATTAATTATCAATTAGGCGCCTTCGTGCTGCGCGAGCTGCTCGCGGCGGGGGAGAGAGGGCCGAAGACCATCTTTTGCCTCGTGCGCGCGTCGGCGACGGAGACGGCGCTTCGACGCCGTGAGGGGCACGCTGGCACCGTGAGAGCGTCTCCTTCACACCTGCAACTGTGAACAGGCGCTCGAGCGCGTGATGGGCACGCTGGAGCGGTTCGGGCTCTGGGAGTCCGAGGGCGGGTGGGCGGCGCGCATCGAGGGCATCGAGGGCGACACCGCTCTCAAGAGCCTGGGCCTCTCCAACGACCACTACCAGTACCTCGCCACTGTGGTCGACCGCGTCATCCACGCCGCCGCGCGCGTCAACCTCGTCTTCCCGTGCGCGATGCCCTAGCTAGTCACCCGTGAGCAGTGTCGGTGGTGGGGAAGTGGGCGCGATGTCTCTCGCTCGGCTGAGGTTCTGGGCTGAGCGGCTCTGTCGGAGTGTGTGCCGCAGGTACGCGCGCCCTGCGCAGGGACAACGTCCTAACCCTAACCCTAACCCTAACCCTAACCCTAACCGCAGGTACGCGGGCCTGCGCAGAGACAACGTCGTGTCGACCACGCGCGTGCTCCACTTCGCGATGGACCACAAGGTGAAGCCGGTGACCTACGTCTCGACCGACGCCGTCTTTCGGCCAGGCGACGCGCGGCCCGCGCGCGGAAGAGAGGGCGAGGCCGAGTGTGAGTCCTCTTTCACACCGCCCCCCCCTCTCCCTCCCTCAGGCACGCGCGGACCGCACGCAGAAGGCGAGGCCGACTTGGACGCCGAGCTGCCCCTTCTCACGACCGGCTACGCGCAGTCCAAGTGCGTGGCGGAGCTGCTTGTGCGCGAGGCGGCCAAGCGAGGGCTAATTAACTAACTAATGAACTATTAATTAACTACTAATTATTAATTAGGCGGCCAAGCGAGGCTTGCCCACGACCATCGTCCGGCCAGGCAAGCCCGAGATTACCCGAGACTACCCGAGACTACCCGAGATTACCCGAGATTACCCGCCTGCCCACGACCATCGTCCGGCCAGGCAAGCCCGAGATTACCCGAGATTACCCGAGACTACCCGAGATTACCCGCCTGCCCACGACCATCGTCCGGCCAGGCAAGCCATCGCCGGCTGAGACACCTCTGCGTCTCTGCGTCTCTGCCCTTCACGCTCCCCGCGTGTGCGCCATTTAGGCAACCTTGGTGGGTGCGACCCGCGCGCCGCCATCCGACCGCGAGGCGCGCGTTCGCTCCTCCGCGCCGATGACACGCCGATGACACGCCCGTGACACGCCCGTGACACGCGCGTGACACGCCCCCCCCCCCCTGCAGGCACGCGCCAGCTCATCCACGCCGAGAACGTGTCGATCGGGCGCACGCCCCGCTTCGACGCCGCAGAGCAGGTCAAGGCTGCGCTCGACGCCGCCGAGCGGTCGCGAGGCGGGCCGAGCTCTCTCTCGGACAAGGTCGCCGCCGCTGGCTGGAACAGCTCCGACTCCAACTTTCTGATGCTGGTTGGCTGCGCGCTGCTCGGCGCGGCGCCTGGCGGAGTCGGCGGGTGGAGCTGCGAGCTGACGCCGGTCGACTTTGCGGCGCGCGCAGTCGTGGCCCTCTCGGGCGACTCTGGCGCGGTCGGCCAGGCGTACAACTTGGTCAACTCCGACGCGACTCTGCCTTGGGACGCCGTGCTCGACGCGGCGCGGAGCTGCGGCGTCGCGGTCGAGTCGCTGCCGTACGCAACCTTCCGCGAGCGGCTCGAGGCTGCCGCCGGCGGCGCGTCGGAGGCGGCGCAAGCCATCCTCCGCCCGCTGTGGGACCTGCTGAGTCCACTGGCCACTCCGGAGGTGTCGCCGCCGCCGCGCGCAGCCGTTCCCGCCTGCGCCCCTTCACGGCCGTGTGTCTGTGGACAGGCACTCGCCGCCAACGACGCCACCGCCTCCTTCGAGAGCGCCGCCTTGCGCGCCGTCTGCAGCCGTCGCGGCGCGGGCGCCTACCCGCCTCTCGACATCGCGCTCGTGCGCGAGTATTGCTGGCACCTCCTCGACGCTGGCGTCTTCCCGCGGCCGGCGGTCGGGGGCGCGGCCGGGGGCGCCGAGCCGCGCCGCCTCACCGGCCAGGTCGAATCTCGGGTAATCTCGGGTAATCTCGGGCTTGCCTGAGCCGCGCCGCTTCACCGGCCAGGTCGCCGTCGTCACCGGGGCCTCGGGCGGGATCGGCGCGGCGATCGCGCGGCAGCTCGCTGCGGCGGGTGCGGCGGTCTGCCTGGCGGCACGGCGGAAGGGGCGGATCGAGGCGCTGGCGGGGGAGCTGTCCCGCGCGCACGGCGTGCCCACCCTCGCCGTGGTTGCGGACGTGACCGACCGGGCGTCCGTCAAGGCGTGCGTGCGCGAGGCGGAGGGTGCGCTCGGCCCTGTGAGCGTGCTGGTGTCCAACGCGGGCGTGATGCACTACACGCTGATGAAGAACCTGCACGAGGACGAGTGGGCGCAGGCGGTCGACGTCAACTGCAAGGGCATGCTCAACGCCGTCGGGGCGGTGCTGCCCGGCATGCTCTCGCGCGGCAGAGGCCACATCCTCACAATCACCTCGGACGCGGGCCGCAAGGCCTTCCCCGGCCTCTCCGTCTACAGCGGCACAAAGTTCTTCAACGAGGCGGTCTCGCAGGGCTTGCGCGCCGAGTGCGTCGGTACGGGCGTCAAGGTGACGACCGTGCAGCCGGGCGACTGCCGCTCCGAGCTCCCCGCTTGCACGACCGACGAGGAGGCGCGCGCTCGCTACGCGCAGCGGCCCCGCGTCTCTGCTCCCGCGATGCACCGCGCTTGTCGCTCCTCTCTACGCCGCACCCGCCCTCCCCTTGTACTCCTCACCGTGCCCGTCTCTCCTCGCGCGACGCACACCGGTCTGCCCCTTAGGCGCGCGGCATCTACGCGCAGCCGTCCAAGGACCGCAACGTCTGGCTCGACCCGCTCGACGTCGCAGACACCGTCGTGTGGGCCCTGTCGCAGCCGCCGCACGTCGCGGTCCGCCCCCGGGAGGAGGTCGTCGAGCCGCGAAGGCGTGACACGTCCCACCCACACGTCCTTGGCACGTCCGCATAGGTCAACGAGGTCCTCGTTGAGCCGCGGGACGCGCCCGCGTGAGGCTGGCAGAGCGGCGGCGCCCCGGCGGGAGAGGGGGGCGGAGCGGCCGGCGCCGAGAGGCACTCTGGCGGGAGACGGAGGGGAGGGGGAGGGGGCCGGGGAGGGGAGGGAGACGGGGTCGGTGGCTGGCTTTCGGCACGGCGGTGTCACATGGAATCCCATGCATGATGCAGCATCACATAACACACATGAACATGATGCATCCTAATACATGATCCAGGCAGGCGTAGAGAGCGTGGCTGGTGGCCGGTGGCGGTGCGGTTTTTTACTAAGGTAAGGTAAGGTAAACGTCTCCACACACACAAAGTGGTGGGGCAAGGGGGGGCGACCCTCGCATCTCCACGCCCGGGACACGGGCAGGAGCCCCACGGCATTCAAAGTGCAAGCACCGGCCCGGTGCCGTGGGTGAGCTCAACCTGCACCCCACTCCTACTCCTATAACACAACCCCCACAGCGTGGTCGTCTACGTGTTCAGAAACACCAAGCAGCGAGGCGAGGGTGAAGGGGTAAGGGGCTGTGTGGGGCTATCTGTGACCATCTAGCCTGGGGGGTAGCAGGAGGGGGGGGCAGAGGGTAAGATATGGGTGAGGCCAGCTACAAGTCGGACGCCCTCCCGTCGTCGGAATAATCCTCGGAGCGGTCAGCGTCCTCGTCGTCGTCCTCGGTCTGCATCGCGTCGCCAGCCGTGAACCTGAACACGGCGTCGGCCGGCGCCGAGGCGCCGGCGGCCGTCATCAGGTGCATGACTATGCGGTCGCGGTATGCCGCATCGATCTCTCCGTGCTCGGCCAGCTCGTTCGCGAGCCAGTCCGAGGCGACGGTCGTCGCCACGGTCCCCTGGGGAACTGTGGCGTACACCTTGCTGGGGCCGCGTCGATACCCGTCGTCCCTCTCCGGGGGCAGCGAGTATTCGACCCCCATTTTGGACCCGGCCTGGCTGCGCGCCTGCGCAGCTGCAGACCGCAGCCCGGCCATCACGTACTGGATGTTCTCGCGCAGCTGCGCCCGCGGGGCCTCCGCGCGCTCGGCCTCGCTCGCGGCGCGCTCGCCAGCCTCCGTCGCCCGGCGCGCCTTCTGCCGGTCCTTCTTGGCCTTGCGTGCCGCGGCTCGAGCCGCGAGCTGCTCCTTGGTGGGCTCCTTCTTCTTCGGCGCGGTGCGCTCGATGTACGAGCGCTCCGCCGCCTGCACCGACTCGCGGTCGCCCGCGGCCTTCTCGTGCTTCAGGTCGACCTCGATGGTCGCGTAGCCAGGCCTTATCACCCTGACACAAGACGCACCGAACAGCCTTGCGACACTCACCGCGTCCTCCAGTTGCGCGCGATCGGAGCTATTCCAGCGTCCGCTGCGCATCCCCGGCGGCACGACGGTGGCCGGCGCTTGCGCGCCAGCCCCGTCCGCCGCCGGGTCCGCGGCCGCGGTCCCTGTCATAGCTACGCGCGCCATGGAGAACGGCGGGCACTTTACGTTTTTTACTATACGAAGTGGAGTCTGTCCGACGGCGACGCCCGCGGGTCAAATGGAAAGGTGTAAGTCGTAACAGCCAACACGCCGCAAAGGCAAAACAAGAGCCAAATCTCGAGCCGTGTAACAGAAGATAAACACGCGCAGTGGCCGTGCACCGTTTTTAAATCCAAGGTGCGTCACACACACGGTCACACGACCGAGTCTCCGCAAAGGGTCCACCGTGGATGGAGATGGAGCGTGAAGTTGCATTCGTTGAAGAGGAAAGGCTCAAAGCGAGCTGCTGGACCCCGCCATGGCCTCGTCGATGTGGCCGGTGCGCCCCTGCTTGCAGTAGAAGCAGACCTGCTCCGCCGGGTTCTTCTTCTCCGAGCGTACAGCCCGGCGTAGTGCAGATGTCGGCCACCGGCTCGGTTGGAGACACGTTCGGTGCCGGCGAGGAGGACGAGGTCGAGGCAGCAGACGAGGTGGAAGCCTGCGGATCGCCCTTGGCCTTGCACTGGCACGCGATAACCTCCCACCAGAAGAGGGAGCAGCGCGTCACCAAGTCGTCGTGGTCGGCAAAGGTGCCAGGGGAGAGGGTCTTGTGGCAGTAGAGCTCGTCCTCGTCGAACTCCTCAGGCATCGTGTCTGTGAAGAGGGTTGCGTGCATGTCGGCCTCGGCCCCGTCAGACAGGTTGACGTTGCGCAGGAAGATGAGCTGGTCGCGCCTTGTTGCGCTGCTCTTCGAGAGTTTGGGCTTCCTCCAGGCTCAGCTGCGAGACATCTCCGGCCAGCATCTGCGCCTCCAAGTCAGCAATACGCCGCCGCTCGAAGCTGCGCTCCCCATTGTTGGCGATCTGGAGGTCCTCGAGCTGCTTGATGTACTCTCTCTCTCTTGATGTACGCGATGGGGCGCAGCGGCCCTCCTGGCAACGTGCGTCTTCCTTTCCCCCACCTCATCCACCCTAGGAGCTAGGTTCGTCCGCCCGCGGTTGAGAGAAGACTAATCCTGGGGAAAGCAACCAACTCCCAACACCCCACGACCGACGGTCGTTTCCGCGACATCGATGACGCTCTTTTCTTTTTTCTCGGACTGAAGGTGAAGCGAGAGTTGAAGAAAGACGGCACACGACTCTCCTCCTTATGGGAGTGGCTACTCTCGTGGCAGAAAGATGCCGTGCCACAATCTGTATAGCTCTATCGCCGCTCACTCCCGATCGCGAGGACGCTCGCGAAGTCGCGATGGCCAACTTCGCGGATGTTCGGGCTGACTCTACAGCCATTGCGTCGCTTCGGTAAAGATTTTGATGCATTGCTTGAGTTCGTTGGCACGGTTGCCATTCGCCACCTTTGCATTCGGAATGACGCAGTAGTTTTGGCTGGCGCAGGTGTTGTATAGAAGGTAGGATGTTGGGGAAAAACACAGACCGGATGGGAATGCCAACTTAAGGTTGTCCTTGCCGCAATCCATCTTGGGAGAGAATTCAGAAGGTGGAGCTGGATTCGCACATTGATCTTGTCCAAGATTGTAGTCTTTATCCTTTGAACAAATGTGGCCGACGCCGAACATGGGCTCGTTTTTCCTGCAGCCTTCTGCTAGGCGTTCCGCGGCATCATTGTGTGAATACGTACCACTCGGATCGACGTTGACCGTGTTATCCCCGCAGGGATTACCCACTGCACCACTGCACTTTCCGTTGGCGTACGCATAGTTGCAAACCATATCCGCGGGATGTGACCCTGAGTTGCTGCAGTGCTGCTCCCAAGGCCACCACCCTGTACGATCGCCCCACTTGGCATTCGCGGGTCCCCCGTCAGGCACCGTCAATGCGTAACACCCTTTGAGTCGGCTGAGGGTGCTTTCAACTTTTCTTCCTCGGGACACTGCTGGAGCAACCTCAAAAAAGTAGGAGGCAAGTGCGAACTCGTACGTCTCGTAAGCAGACGGCGCACACTGCTGGAGATAGTGGGCGTTGGCTTGGATGACAGAGTTGAGCATCGACATCTGTACGGTCACATACTGATATTCAACCACGGCCGCGTAAAACTGTTCAAACTTGCTTTTCAAGCCCGCGTCGACTTTGCAAGAATCAGCAATGGCGAACCCTCCGTTACTTCTGTCGGGGTTGCAGGTATCGTAGCACTTCTCGTCGAACATCTTCAACGGCTTAAAAGTGGTGTAGAGGAATGACCCCGTTCCACCAACCATGCTCAGCCAGGCCGATTCAACCTGAGTGCCATAGCCGGACAACTCAGTGCGGTCCAGCGCGAATACCGAACCCCAGCCTTCGCCAAATAGCTCTGGCGTCAGCGCAATCTCTCGGTGGTAGTTGTAGGCCATCATTTTTATGTTGAGCACCTCGGCGATGGACCGAAACTTGAACTTCTCCTGATCTATGTTGAAGCTGGAAAGAGCACTAAGCACGGCAGCCTCCACGTCTTCCCTTGTGAGCTGGGGAGTTGTGGAACGGTCTTCAAAGAGAATGCCAAGGACCGAGCCGAATGCTTTTACGAGCTCTCCACTCCCGGGTACCAGGAAGTTTGAAACGATTGGCGCGATCTCGGTCGCAATCTTAATGGTCGCCCTTGCTATTTCCGCCTTGTTGTTCGGCTTCTGTACCTGATCGGCCAAATTTTTAGCCTCTATCGCGATGTTCCTTGCCATCTCCGCCTTGTCTTTGTCCCCGGCTGCTTCATACGCCTCTTCGGCGGCCCTGGCCGCACTTTCGACCATGTGTGCCCTGTCATAGGCACTGAGATTAGACTGAAGCTGCTCCATACAGGAAGGGGGCGGAAGTAAAGGGGGTGGCGACGAGGGAGGCGGCGCGACGGGTGGACCAGGCGGATGCTCTGGAGGATGGGGGGGCGACGGCGGTGACGGTGGAGAGCCGGGCGGCGCTGGCGGCGACGGCGGCGAGGAGGGTGGCGGCGTCGGCGAAGGTGGTTGGTTGGGCGACGGCGGAGCAGACGGGGGTGGCGGCCACGCGGTCCGTCGGCAGGCGTAATAGGGATCGATGGATTCTTTCCTCGACACCGGCAATGACAGAAGGCGTGTCATATCCTGGGCCTTAAGCCTGCCGAGCCATTCGCTGACCTGCTCGCAGTCCTCGAGCGAGGTCAGTAGGATGTCACTCTCCACCCTGACCGATGCCTGC